TGCACCGGTTGAAGGGGCTGGGGGTGGGGGGCACCGTTCTGCGGTGGTTCTCCTCCTACCTCTCTGACCGGTCGCAATTTGTGTTGACAGGGGGGCAGCGGTCGACCCCGAGGCGCCTTGTTTGTGGGGTGCCACAAGGGTCGGTCCTCTCGCCCCTTCTGTTCAACATTTATGTAAAGCCGCTGGGCGAGATCATCCGTTGCTTTGGGGTGGTGTTCCATCAGTACGCTGACGACACTCAGCTGTACATCTCCACCTCAGGCCACCCCAACGATGCCCTTGAAGTGACGTCCCAGTGCCTGGAGGCCGTGCGGGCCTGGATGGGGAGAAACAGGCTCCGACTCAACCCTTCCAAGACTGAGTGGCTGCAGCTTCCAGTGTCCCGATATAGCCAGCTGGTGCCATCGCTGGCTATTGGGGGCGAAACACTGGCCCACACAGAGAGGGCTCGCAACTTAGGCATCCTTCTGGATGCACGGCTGTCTTTAGAAGAGCATATGATGGCCGTGGCCAGGGGGGCTTTTTATCAGGTTCGCCTGATATGCCAGTTGCGTCCCTTTCTGGATCGGGACTCCCTACGCACAGTCACTCAAGCACTCGTCACTTCCCGCCTGGATTACTGCAATGCTCTCTACATGGGGCTCCCCTTGGGGTGCACCCGGAGGCTGCAGTTGGTCCAGAATGTGGCTGCGCGGGGGATTATGGAAGCGACTGGGCGCTCACATATAACACCTCTCCTGTGCGAGCTGCACTGGCTTCCTGTGGTCTTCCGGGTGTGCTTCAAGGTGTTGGTGACCACCTTTAAAGCGCTCCATGGCTTAGGGTTGGGGTATTTGCGAGACAACCTTCTGCCGCCAATAGCCTCCCACCGACCGGTTCGCTCGCACAGAGAGGGCTTCCTCAGGGTGCCATCGGCCAGGCAGTGCTGGCTGGTGACCCCCAGGGGGAGAGCCTTCTCTGTGGCAGCACCTGCCCTCTGGAATGACCTGCCCCCTGAGATACGCACGATATCAGACCTCCGGACTTTTCGTCGGGCCCTGAAGACACACTTGTTCCATCTAGCTGGGCTGGCTTGATCCCATTCTCTCAGTTTCTTTTAATCGAATTTGGTTTTAATTAGGTTGTTTTAAATTCGGGCCAAAATTATTTAATTGTTTTTTTAAATGTTTTTAAATTTTATATGCTATGTTTTATCCTGGCTGTACACCGCCCTGAGTCCCGCAGGAGAAGGGCGGTATAGAAATATAATAATAAAATAATAAAATAATAAATATTCCTTCTGGTAACCATCTGAAGTTTACTCCTTTTTTAATTACCATATTTTTCGGAGTATAAGATGCACCTTTCCCCCCCCTAAAAGGGGGTGAAAATTTAGGTGCATCTTATATACCGAAGTAGCCCCGCCCACCCACTGGCCCCCACCCTTTGGCCTCTGTCTCGCAGCAGTTACCTTCTTGCAAGCAAACAGCAAGAAAAATTAGCTCCTTTCAGCTTTAGCACAGCCTAATTAGCACAAGTTGATTGGATCGGTCTCCCGACTCAGCTGATTTGCTCTCAGCTCTTTTGTGCAGGACTCTGCTGCTTGCTGCAAAGAGGTAAATTGCTGGAGCAGATTTTTTTTTTCTTGTGCTAATCAAGCTATGCTGAAAATGAACATGAAAGTAAAGCAGGCTGTTTGCTGTTTGCTGCAATGAGGCAAAATTGCTCAGAGGCAGAGGCAGATTTCTTTTTCTTCTTCTCCTCACCAAAAAAGGTAGGTGCGTCTTATACTCTGGTGTGTCTTATACTCCGAAAAATACAGTAGACCTTTTGTCAAAAATTGATATTCTCTTCTCAAATCTCTTATCCTTCTGGGTATCTATTTCAACACCACTATCTCTCTACCTTTATATTTTATAGGAGTATTCCTTGCTGTCTGTAATATTTCTGTTTTTATTGCCTTCTTGGTGAACTTCACATCAATAAACTTGGTAGTTTATTTCTCACTGCATATCTTGTGTGTATTTAATCTTGTCAATCCCATTTAATATCTTTTCTTTGGTTTTCTCCATCATTTCCGCCAACATCTCTGCCATAACTTCAGCCAGATTCTCCCCCTTTTCTTCTTCTATATTTTGAAATCTTAGATAAAAATCTGCACGATTCATCACAAGGGAAATAATTGTCTTTTCCTGATTTTTGGCAATTATTGTAAATCTATCATCCATCTCTCCCACTCTTTTCTGTTGATTCTGCTTTTTCCTCCACTTTTTCTATTCTTTCTTCATTCTTTCCAATCATCCCCTTGACATCTTTAATAATAATAATAATAATAATAATAATAATAATAATAATAATAATAATAATAATAATAATAATTTTATTTCATTTCTATACCGCCCTTCTCCCGAAGGACTCAGGGCGGTGTACAGCCAATTTAAAAACACAGGACACAACAATAATTAAAAATTAAAATAATTAAATAGATTTGGCCGATTTAAAACCCCAAAAATTGAAAATACCCCAATTTAAAATTATTATGTTGATAGCCCTGCCTGGCGGAACAACAGGGTCTTCAGTGCACAGCGAAACACCCGGAGGTCGGAGATCTTACGTATTTCCAGGGGCAGTTCATTCCACAGGGCTGGGGCTCCCACAGAGAAGGCCCTCCCTCTGGGGGTCGCCAGCCGACATAACTTGGCTGATGGCACCCTGAGGAGACCCTCTCTGTGGGAGCAAACTAGCCGGTGGGAGGCTATTGGTGGCAGAAGACGGTCTCGAAGGTACCCGGGTCCTATGCCATGGAGCGCTTTGAAGGTGGTAACCAACACCTTGAATCGCATCCGGAAGACCACTGGGAGCCAGTGCAGCTCGCGCAGCAGGGGTGTCACGCGGGCACGAGTTGCGCCCATAACCACCCGCGCGGCCGCATTCTGGACCAGTTGGAGCCTCCGAGTGCTCTTCAAGGGGAGCCCCATGTAGAGAGCATTACAATAGTCCAGCCGGGAGGTGACAAGGGCATGAGTGACCGTGCGCAAGGCGTCCTGGTCCAGAAAGGGCTGCAACTGGCAGATCAGGCGAACCTGATAAAAGGCCCCCCTGGCCACGGCCGTCATATGCTCTTCTAAAGACAGCCGTGCATCCAGGAGGACACCCAGATTGCGAGCCCTCTCTGTGGGGGGCAAAGATTCACCCCCAATAGTCAGCAATGGCACCTGCTGACTATATCGGGACGCCGGCAGCCACAGCCACTCGGTCTTGGACGGGTTGAGTCTGAGCCTGTTCCTCCCCATCCAGACCCGCACGGCCTCCAGGCAGCGAGACATCACATCAAGGGCATCGTTGGGGTGGTCTGGGGTGGAGATGTACAGCTGAGTATCATCAGCGTACAGATGACACTTCATCCCAAAACCACGGATGATCTCACCCAGCGGCTTCACATAAATGTTGAACAGAAGAGGCGAGAGGACCGACCCTTGTGGCACTCCCCATGCGAGACGCCTCGAGGTCGACCTCTGCCCCCCTGCCAACACGAACTGCGAGCGGTCGGAGAGGAAGGAGGAGAACCACCGCAGAACGGTGCCCCCTATTCCTAACCCTCTCAACCGCTGCAGCATGATACCATGGTCGATGGTATCAAAAGCCGCTGAGAGATCTAATAGGACTAGGACAGAGGAGCAACCCCTGTCCCAAGCCCTCCAGAGATCATCCACCAACGCGACCAATGCCGTTTAAGCTCCCCTTCTACTTTTTCCATTCTCTTATCCAATTTACTTATTCTTTCTTTGAGGTCTTCATGTAAAGCCTGTATCATGTTTTTTAATTCCAAGTGCATGGCCATAGTGTCCAATGTTCTTTGAGCCACAGGGCTTGAAGTTGTAGCTGTGCAAGGTAACTGTGTTGTTGTCTTCTTCATGTTGTCGCATCTTAACACTGTAATCCACCAGGCTTGTAATCCAAATACAGCTTTGATTTATAATCCAAATATCTAATCCACCCCATTGAATGGATTAGCCAAAAAAAAAAAAAAAAAAGGAAAAAAGGGGGGAGGGAGAGAAAAATAACAAAAAAAAAGCTCAATCAACCCAAAAACCAAAAATGCAAGGGAGGAAGAAAAGAAAACCAAATAAAAATCAAAACCAAAAACTCTGAAATTTCTCTCTCTTCAGGTTCTTCTTACCTTAATCCAAATTTTAGAACATCCCGAAAAGCAACCAGCCAAAGGGAAAAACAATTAAAAAGGGGGGGGGGGAATTATCCACAAACTTGATATTGTCAGCATAATGTTGTCTCCTTCATTCAAACTCTTGATGTTATTTTCCATAGGGTATCTTAATTCCTTTAATTTTCACTATTTTTTCTTTCTTGTTTAGAATGGAGGGGGGAAGGAGGCACCTCTATCCAGTCCAAACTCCATTGCAATATTTTGGCTGCATATTTGGGTATCGTTGGAACAATGATTCTATTTCAGATATTTTTCCATACAGCTTCAGATCATCTGTGTAGAGGAATGGCCTGGCAGTTGTTTTTGATGTTTGATAGCGATGCCCTGAGTATTTCAGTATTGTCCACAGAGGAATAAATACAATGGCATTCATGGTGATAATCAGTCTCCTTGAAGAGTTCCTCCTTTTTTGGACAAAATCTAAATTGTATCAAAAGCAATAACAACCCCACAATAGAACAGGAACTAGCACTATGCTTCAGAATGCTAATTAGGAATTAATGGAGGTAATTAGACTAAGCTGTAGTATTCACAACTTCATTGTACCAAGAGACATCTGGCCTGCCACTGCAGGAACAGAATGCTGGATTAAATTAGCCCTTGATCTTACCTTCTTATGTTGTTTGCACATATATCCAATCATTGCAAAATCCTGCTGAAATTAATTTAGGAATACTTTTTCAGAAACATGATGAAAATGAAGTCAGCTATCAGGTTTATTTTAATTAAGAAATATTTTGCTGCTGGTAATTTAAGAACCAAAATACTGTTAACTATTTAATGCATTCAACCTTACCCTGAATATTAAGGCAATAGCCTGGCCAGTCTGAAGGTATTTTTCAGATGAGAGTTGCATGTGTGTTTTGATGACATCAGCAGGCTGAGTAGCTAATGAGGCCAGAATTCCAGCCACAGTTCCACAACCAAAGTTCATAAGTGGTACAATTGTTGTATCTAGTTGGCCTGGAAAACAGCAAGCAAACCCACAAAGTTATTTTACAATTAATTGCTGCAAAGAATAAGTAGAACAACTAAATCTTTTATGTCACATTATAGGCAAGGACTAATTTAGAGTCAGTATTTTAAAACCTGAAAAATTCAAACTGAAAAGGAGTATAATTGGAAAATGAAATGGAGATGGATTTCTGAAGGCCCTGAAAAATCTGTGCATGAATTTGTGGTACTGCATTCAAAAATTAAGATGATCCTAGCAAAACGTTCAATGTTTTGAAAATGGCAAAACTACTGCAAACATTTCTTAGTTGTGTACCTATCATAGCTGATGAATTTAAGAGAAAATGATGCTGAAAGAATTTTTCTTTATCTTAACTACATAAATAGGAGTGAAGCAAGCATGATACATTTGAATATATCATGTTTGCTTCACTCCTATTTATGTAGTTAAGATAAAGAAAAATTCTTTCAGCATCATTTTCTCTTAAATTCATCAGCTATGATAGGTACACAATTAAGAAACAAATCAAATTTCAGAAAGTTATATGACAATTTGGTTTAAATTTACATTATTAATTCTACATTCCTGAAAAGTAACACTATTATAAAACGTCTAATATTGTTTGAACATACAGATCAATATTAGAGTCAAGTGAAATACAAGTACCTCCTTTTTTCAACCACAACATTCTGTTTTATGTCAGAATTATGTCTAAGCATTCAAACTGAAACACATGGTTAATTTTTACATTCTTTATACCAAGCCATTCATTCTTCCCAATGGCTAAATGATTCTTGGACCCAGAATCATTATGCTGCAAAAACGAAGTTATGATTTAGAACACCAAAGAGAGACGTAACATGTGAGGACTCAAGAATATTCCATTGGGCAATTTCAAAGATAAAAACAATTACAAGGTACGGGTTTTATATAACAAATGACATACAAAAGGACATTTTAAAGATAAAGATGTAAAATATTTCTTGCCACAAAATCTCATTTTGTGGCAAAATTATTTCATCTATCCTAAATTCTACAAGAGAAACCACAGAACCTGTTCACTTACCATATGATGCAAGCTTTTGGGTCTGTGTGTAGAACATCAGATAGATGCCAGAAAAAGGTGCATCACGAAGAAGTGTTGCTGACAGGCCACTAAACAAACCCTGGGCCCCCTCTGATCGATAGATATTTCTCAGGGCTCCATACACACTTTCATAGCTGTATTTTCCACTCTGTAAATCAAATGTAATTATCAAAGTGAACATCCTCCTACATAAGCACATGCGAACTTCTGCCAAAACTTAAAATGCATATGGAGCAAAAAAAAGGTATAAAGTACAAACAATAATATTGGAACCATTGTAAGCTAGTGATATTGATATGGAAGCAATTTATTGTTGTTAGAAGGGTTTATATCACAGATGTTTAAAAAATCATGGCATTAATGTTTATTTATTTATTTATTTATTTTATTTTTAAAATTTTTATACCGCCCCCTCACCCGAAGGACTCGGGGCAGTGAACAGCCAAAATTAAAAACACACAATACAAATATTAAAATACTTTAAAACGAAATTAAATCTATGGCTTCCCCAATTTAAAACCCCTTACCCATAAAATTCCCCAATTAAAAGATTTTTAACCCAGCCCAGCTTGCTGAAATAAAAAAGTCTTCAGGGCCCGACGGAAGGTCCAGAGGTCCGGGATCAGTCGTATCCCTGGGGGTAGCTCATTCCAGAGGGTGGGTGCCCCCACAGAGAAGGCTCTTCCCCGGGGGGTCGCCAGCCAACATTGCCTGACAGACGGCACCCTGAGGAGGCCCTCTCTGTGGGAGCGTATTGGCCGGTGGGAGGTTATCGGTGGCAGAAGATGTTCTCGTAAATAACCGGGCCCTGACTATTTCTGATATTATTAAGCTTATTCTATGGTGAATTTTTTTAGTTGTTGCTAGAGGTTACTTAGAGTTGGAAAGAGTGAAGTAACATAAAAGAATTAGAAGTATATAAATAAAATTTTCCAATAAAAAAGAAGAAAACAATTCCTCACCTCATATCGTGTTTTCACTACTGTGATGGGTAACATACAAATAACAGCTACAGTTCGTGAAGTTGCACCCAAAAGAACTGATTCCAAGGCAGTAGGAGAGTGTTCCCACAAAAAATGATGTTTTATCATATATAAAGTGCTGAAGTAAATCCCAACTCCTGGAATGCATCGTGCAAAGGACTGCAAAGTGATAGCAAGCAGAACACACAAAAAGAGAGACAATCATGCAAAGAGACAAATCTAAGGATATCGGCCATTTTTAATTTTTATTTCAAAAGGAGTGAGGCACAATCTATTTTTCCCAATTTAACAATGTTGTATTTCATACAAGAAACTCAAGAAAGTTGCATGAAGTAGGATAGGGTGGGCACTGGACAAAGGCAACTTGTCTAAAGCCATTTTGTCAGCTTCAAAAGTGAACTGGAGATTTGAACTTCCATGATCTTTAGCTCTAGTCAGATATTTCAGCTCCTATATCTAAATTTCAAGTTTCATTCTTCAGAAATAAGGGCATCCATGTGCAAGCACTTTTGTCAAGATGCCCTTAATCAAACTAAAGGAACCACAAAGGACATGAATGAGGAAAAATTGTCACTGTACCTTTGGGAAGGAGAATATTAATCAACTCTTTTAACAATATGTATGATCAAGTAAACCAGTATTGGAATCTAATCACCAGAGAGAGGTGTTCCCATATTCTGTGATTAAATAGGTACTAATGCCCAATGAATTACACTTTCATGTAATCCAAATAACCAGTAATTTATGTTTGTGAGAAGCAGCTGAAACACTCTGTGGCCATGTTCACTCACCATGTGGTCTAGAATTTGGTTACATTGTAGTTCTAAGTATGGCAGGAATCTGGCCATTGTTTCAGCATAAAAGAACTTAGATCACATAATGATTTACTCTGATCACATATAATTTACTTGGATCGCTATGTCACCCAAGCATTCACTTTCAGATTTCCAAATTCCATTTTGAAAGCTCTATGGCCACTGTATCACTTGGCTCAACAATGTTCAATGAAATGTTATTTTGAGCCACTGTTGAATAAATTTATTCCTGAATTGGTTGCCACTGGCTTTTAGTGGCAAAGATTAAGGTTTCTTATGGATTCGAACTCAAAATAAGCTCACTCCAACAAATCCAATTCAAGCAAAAAGGGTCACACCATTTATTAGAGACAACTCACTGGAGAAACACCTTTCCACAGTCCAAATATACTTTCTGTACGAGCAAGTTTGAAGAGTAGAGCTACCATTTTAATACGACCTGAACTGGGGGGGAAATATATCAGATATTAGAAACAGGTAAAGCTCAACAACCATTTATTACAGCTGTTCCACCAGGGTACATTCTGAATAACAGCCTCCTTACCCCACTATCCCACCATAAATATCAGCAAATGTACTAGCTTTAATTATGAGATTGAAGGTTCCCAGTTCAGAAACATTCTCTACCAAAATAGTTGATACATATACAAGTCGTTCTTAAACCCAGTAACTTCCATACACATTGAGACCACAACATAATTCCTATCCAGCATTGGCAAAGATCCACTTGAGACCAAGACATTTTTTTCTATATTTAGATGCATGTAAATGCATACACATGCCTAAAATTCCAGTTTTTATCTATTGATTCCCAATAGTATCATTAGAGAAAAATGCAAAATTTTGCTGTTTCCTCCACTACAAGCAACCATGTAGAGAAACTATCTTCCTGAATTTTGGAGTAACTCAGATGTGCTAGCTGAATGTTTATCTCATTGCACAATTAAGTTGGGATTCATCAATAAAGTCAGCCTGTACTCAGGCAAGGCATTAACACCAACTTTTCCTATAAGGAATAACAATAGCACTTAGACTTATATATCACTTCATAGTGCTTTATAGCAGGGGTCATCAACCTTTCGGACCTCAGGGACCACTAAATTCATAATATTAAATCCCGCGGACCACTAATATGATCTGCCTAATGACCACCTGGGTGGACGTGGCTAGGTGGTTATGTGACTGGGTGGGCATGGCCAACTTGATATCACTCACGTTGAGAGGTACCTCACCAGCCTCTACTCACCCCTCCCCTCCCAGCCATTCATCGTCTCCCCACCTGGGCTCCTTAGAGCCCCAACAGGAAGCAGTTGTTGGAGCTAAGCCGCCACCACGAGAAAGAGTTGGCAAAACAGCTGGCTCAGTTCAAATTGGATCTGGCCGAGAAGGAGGCTCAGCAGAAGCACCTCACTGAAGACTAGGAGCATAGGCTTTCCAAGCAGAGGGAAGACCTGCGGGAGTGCAAGACCAGGTACAGGCACCTGGAGGCTCAGCGGGCTGAGATGGTCAGCCAGTTCCAGGCTATGATGCAGTCCCACTGGAACAAGGCCCTCCAGTTCTTCACCATCAGAGGTGCTTCCCTCCACCCTTCGCCCAAAGCCCCGCACCAGGAGGCTGAAGCAGACCCCAAGTCAGAATTTCTGTCCCCCTCCAACCCAGACAAAAAGACCCCGAAGGGGGAGACTCTCAACAGCAACACAAACATTCATTGCACGTATCTGTCCCAGGGGCCCTAGTTTGAGGACCCCTGATTTAGTGCAATATTAAAAATGCAAATAATTTTTCTGCGGACCACCAAAATTTTCTCGTGGCCCACCAGTGGTCCATGGACCACCAGTTGGTGACCACTGCTTTACAGCACTCTCTAAGCAGTTTACAGAGTCAGCATTTTGCCCCCACAATCTGAGTCCTCATTTTACCAAATTGGGAAAGATGAAAGACTGAGTCAACCTTGAGCCAGTCAGGATTGAACTCCTGACCATTGGCAGAGTTAGCTTCCAATACTGCATTCTAACCATTGCACCACCAGGACTCCTAATGCATACCTTTTATTCAATAAAACCCCAATATGGGTAAAATCATGTAAAACCTAGGACTATACTTTGCCTGTCTCATTGTTATATCAGTTTCTCCAATTCCCATCACTTAATCACTTGATTTTAGCCCAGGGCTTTAAGGCCAACAGCAGAAGAATCTCCAATAAGTATTTGAAATACTTGCCCACTGACAGTTGGCTGCACAGTCTGCAGCCTAGTTTTAAGTAAGTCAAGAGGCTGGAAGAGCAGGGTAGAGCATGTTCCACTGATAGAACCACAAAAAAAGGCTTTTAGTACAGGATGCACCTTGGAAGAAAAACAAACAAAATTGTAAGCACAGTCAAAAATTAAAACTACACAATTCTTTAATAACCATATTCCAGATTTTCTAGTCATTAAAATAAAGGTTAGATTAGGTAATATTTAATAAATAAATGTTTTCAAACAATAAACAGACATCCATTCTTAAGAAAGCATAATAATCTTTTAAATCTCATGTAGAAACCTTTAGCTTATAATTCTTGTTTAGAATAGAAGAATGGAATGGAACGGAACGGAACGGAACGGAACGGAACGGAACAACAGAACAGAACAGAATAGAATAGAATTCTTTATTGGACAAGTGTGATTGGACACACAAGGAATTTGTCTTGGTGCATACTCTCTCAGTGTACATAAAAGAAAAGATAAATTCGTCAAGAATCATAAGGTACAACACTTAATGATAGTCATACGGAACAAATAAGCAATCAAATCATATTAGGAAACAGTCAATATTTCAACAGTCAATATAAGTCGTAAGGATACCAGCAACAAGGTTACAGTGATACAGTCATGAGTGGGAGGAGATGGATATTAGGAACGATGAGAAGATTAATAGTAATACAGACTTAATAACTAGTTTCACAGTGTTGAGTATTATTTGTTTAGCAGAGTGATGGCGTTCAAGAAAAAAATGTTCTTGTGTTTAGTTGTTGTGGTGTGCAGTGCTCTATAGGGTCGTTTTGAAGATAGGAGTTGAAACAGTTTATGTCAAGGATGCGAGGGGTCTGTAAATATTTTCACAGCCCTCTTTTTGACTCGTGCAGTATACAGGTCCTCAATGGAAGACAGGTTGGTAGTAATTGTTTTTTCTGCAGTTCTAATTATCCTCTGAAGTCTATGTCTGTCTTGTTGGGTTGCAGAACCAAACCAGACAGTTATAGAGGTGCAGATGACAGGCTCAATAATTCCTTTGTAGAACTGTATCAGCAGCTCCTTGGGCAGTTTGAGCTTTCTAGCGCAGAAAGAACATTCTTTGTTATGCTTTTTTGATGACATTTTTGATGTTAGGTGTCCATTTTAGGTCTTGAGATATGGTAGAACCTAGAAATTTGAAGGACTCTACTGTTGATATTGTGTTGTCTAGTATTGTGAGAAGTGGAAGTATGGAAGGGATTCTCCTAAAGTCTACCACCATTTCTACGATTTTGAGTGTGTTCAGTTCCAGATTGTTCCAGTCGCACCATGAGGCTAGTTATTCAACCTCCGGTATGTATGCGGATTCATCATTGTCTCGAATGAGACCAATCACTGTTGTGTCATCTGCGAACTTCAGTGGTTTAACAGATGGATTGTTTGAGATGCAGTCATTGGTATATAGAGAGAAGTGGAGAGAGCACACAGCCTTGTGGGGCCCCTGTGCTAATTGTACAGGTATCTGATGTGATTCTGCTTAGCTTCACCTGCTGCTTCCTGTCTGTTAAGAAGCTTATGATCCACTTACAAGTGTGTTCAGGTACCGCTAGCTGGTTTAGCTTAGTTAGAAGAATGTTTGAAATGATGGTGTTGAATGCTGAACTAAAGTCTACAAAGAGGACCCTTGTGTAGGTCTTTGGAGATTCAAGATGTTGTAGGATGTAGTGCAGAGCCATATAAACAGCATCATCTGTTGATCTATTTGGTCGGTATTTAAAACATTAGCAATCTCTTCATTATACTTACTAATTGGGTAACTGTAACTATGTTGAAAAAATTTTCACAGTAGTAATATGGCAGCTATTTGATGAATTTTAATTTCTGTTAATTCATTTGTCATAATTTCCATATCTACAATTTGTTTACATCTTCAAGTAATCGGGGAAAAATTCAAGAAGCATGTTGAGTCAAAAAAAGTTAGAAATAAATGAACTCCAAGAAAGAATGATGTCAGTAAAAAGCATGAAATCAGAATTGTGGCATCTCAGTCCCCAAGGAGGAGATCATGTAATCCCAGATGTCTCAACAGAATAGCTTACAATATTGTCTATCAGCTAAAAAGGCTAAAACCAACAAACTGCTTATGAGCAGCTGTACAAAATGTAAAATGCACCTGTAACTTCAGACTTGCCTCCTAAAGTATTCAGATGATAAACATTAGTATTTTTAAATCATTATCCTTTTCTCAAAATGCTGTCAGTTGACAACCGATAGCCTAGTCAACAAAAAAGAATATGAACATGCCAGCCGAAACTATAATCCTTTGAAGAAGCCAAATGCCTACCATAAAATTAAGCAACCTTCAATCATTATCTGGATCAAGTACCGGCAGATTCTCTGGACCCTTTTGGGATCAGGATAGGATATACACTGAGATGGCATTAGTTGTGCTTGCTGATGACCTTTTGAGGGCCTGGGATGGCAGTGGTACAATTGTCCTGACTCTTCTGGATCTCTCAGCAGCATTCAATACCATCAATCATAGTATTCTTCTGGAATGGCCCCAGGGATTGAGAGTGGAAAACATTGTTTTGCAGTGGTTCTCTTCCTCCATGGCTGGTTCCAGTTGGTGTTGGTGGGGGAGGAGAGATGAGCCGTCAGCTCCTACAATGTGAGTACCTCAGAGCCCAAATCTTTTGCCACCCTTCTTTAACATCTACATGAAATTGAGGAGTGAAATCAGCCAACAGCATAAGCCTGGACAAGTTAGACCAAGCTGATGTACAATTTGGGAGTTCTCTTGGATTTAGGGCTCCTGCTTGATGAGCAGATGGAAGTCATAGCTAGGGGGTCTTTGCATAGTTTCATCTTGTGATGAAACAGTGCCAACTGCACTGTTTCCTGGACCAGAAGGCCTTGTTCATGGTAACTCATGCCTAATTCAATTCTCAGATGGATTACTGCAATACATTCTACATGGGGCTGCCTTTGAAGATCACTCGAAAGTTACAATTGGTCCAGAACACAGCGACACACATATTTTTGGGTGGCCATAAGTTCATCCATGTTATACCTTTGTTGCACAAGCTGTACTGGCTTCCAGTTTTCTTCAAGATGCAATTCAAGATGCTGGTTGTCACCTATAAAGCCCTGCATGGCACAATACCTTGTTATATGCAGGACTGCATAAGAATATCCATCCATCCTAGGTCATCCTAGATAGGCTGGGCACACTCAAGGTCCCCTCCCTGAAATTTTGCCATCTAGAGCAGTGGGTCTCAACCTTCCTAATGCCGCGACCCTTTAATACAGTTCCTCATGTTGTGGTGACCCCCAACCATAAAATTATTCCTAAAATCATTGAAAATATGTGTTTTCCGATGGTCTTAGGCGACCCCTGTGAAAGGGTTGTTCGACCCCAAAGGGGTCCTGACCCACAGGTTGAGAACCACTGATCTAGAGGTACCTCAGAAGCTTCAAGCTACCCCTATGCTATGGAACACTTTCCCGCTGGTGATTTAACAGGCCCTCCCACTTCTAGCTTTTCAGAAGACCATTAAGACACAATTAAATTTGCACAACACAGGAGTATTAAGTATGTTCACCACCTTGGGCTATATATAAAAAGGGTGGGATAAAAGTATATTAATATCACCAAGAAGCAAACTATGTGATGGTCTCTCACCCTGTGCCTATCTTGTATCTGCCTGCAGTCCTTATATAATAGTGTCTCTTGGTAGGGATCCCACAGCTACAATCACCTTTTAGCCCAGATTGAGGCGCCTGGGACCTGTTAGTAAAGAGTTTGGTAAGAACAAATACACATGCCCTATTCATACAGATAATACTGAGGTAGCGTTTGGGGAAAACTAAGGCACACGGATCTCGGAAGGCATCATTGCTGAGTAACGTTACCATCCCTCCCTTTTCTTAAGTCAGTCAATTTATCAGATAGATATGCGATGTGAGGCAAACGACTTCACCAACCAGCATAGCCTCCTCTGTCCTTCCAGAGGAACCGGGGCCCTTTTCTGATCCTGTGCCAAAACAGCTTGTCAACTCGGATTCGGATTTTGCCGGTGCGGACATTCCACGTAGCTTGTATCTGGGCTCAAGGAGCGTAACGTCGGCAACTCGCTCCGTCACCCGGCCAATCAGAAAGGAGGATAGAGCAAGATGAAAATGTCATTCGTAACTCTTTCTCCGCTGAAGGAGCCTTTGTGCTCGGTTTACTTTAACTAGAGCAGGACTCAGAGGTACTCCAGACCAGGATGGATACAGAGAATGGTGATCGATGAGAAAGCACGCTCACGATTAAATCCTTTCTCAAGTTAAGGTCCTCTGGAACGAAAATAACTTTGTAATCTTGCAGCTGATTATTTTGCAAGCAAACAATCTTTCAGATCATGGTGGCTAAGAAATGCAATCTCCTGAATTTGTAAAAACTCCATTCAAAACATCCCAGAAGCCTACTTTTGAGAGAAGGGACAACCCAGTGTTGCCCTTGCTCTTCGGGGGGGTCTTTCTCAAGAATTCCCGAGAAAGATTTCTTTCACTGGCATTATCCGCGTTAGGACCTGCACCAACATTCTGTTCCAACATGCCAAATCATTAGCCATAGTTTACAAATTACAACACTAAACCATTTTTTGTGAACCGAATCGGAGCACTATACTTTAGATTTCCCAAGTCATGTGATTCTAACCATGCTTCCCAGCCCCGAAACTGGATCATGTTACAAACCACAAGTTGAACTGCTTCTGTTCTTACCGCTATAAATTCCACTTTGTGCTGCGTTTGAAGCAGAGCAGGAGTCCATTTTTGTATCATTTAAAACCTATGAAAGGGCCTCCACATTAATTAACAAAAAACAATACAAGAAAGTTATTAATAATAACACAAAATTCAACAGTTGTCAAAAGGACTTCCTCCTTCAATTTTTTTTTTTAATCCAAGATGATTAGCGGAAGAGCAAGGAACCACCAACCTAGAGATACGAAATATTAAGAGAGTCATCTTGCTAATCGTTATTCCGCTTCAGGGTTCTGTTTATTCAATAGCAATTTCGGTGACTTCGGCTCCAAAGTGCCCGAAGATTTATAGATGATGCGAAATGATAGCATGGATTATGCTCATGTTATTAATATTTTTTCAAAAAGTTATTGATGATAGATTAGTTTGATTATCTCAAACGCTGAAATTCCAAGTAATTCTGCCCATGAAGTTTCCCTCAAATTTGGACTCTCCACCCCTTTCTGTATTTGGAAGAGTCCTGAAGGCATGACTTTTCATCAGAATGAAAATCAGGCTTTTCATCAGAATGACTGATGTATCTTCCTTTTTGTTCTCATCTGGATTTATTTTCTTTGGCATCATTGTTCCTTCTGTCTTGCGCTGATTGCATGTTTGTATTTTTGCTATCTGTGTGTTTTCTACTGTTTTTCACTCTTGAAGGTTTTAATAGTTGCAACCCCCTCAGAGTCACTGGGAATTGGATAGCATATACTGTATTTTTCCGACTATAAGACACACCAGGCTATAAGACACAGCTTAATTTTTGGGGAGGAAAACAAGAAAAAAATAATTCTGCCTCTGCCTACCAGCATCAGGATCAACAGCGTCCTCACTTCCACTCGGATTTTGATAACGAGTAGCACAGATCTTTTTATCCGTTTAAAACAAACCCTATTGTCAGGTTTTCAGGCTGTCTTCAAATAAATTGCATCACAAACAAAGTCTTTTATAAAACAAATTTCCATTTTATTAAGCACAGCACTTTTTACACCGACTCGTTGCAGCTGGCTGCCCCAAAACCCCTCCTCTTCCTTCCCCCACTCCTCTGCATTCATTGGCCATCTTCCCAACCATTCACCCCTAATCTACTGCTCCAATTCCAAGAATTTCCCCCCTCCCATCCATCTCCTAGGGGATATTATTTCCAGAGGAAATAAGTAGGTGAAAGGCAACCGTCCCGTTGCAGACGCCTGCATTCTCCTCCTTATATCAGCACTAGGATAAATGCATCTTGACGTGCTGACACCTATCACTCTACACGCATTTAACTGGAGTCGGTGGGGGATGATTTTCATGGCAGCAGAAGAGGGACTTGGCACTGAAGGCTCCACTCTTGAGACGCCCCTGTCTTCCTACCTATAGCTGTAGGCGTTGAAAGCCTGGCTTTCTCGCAGCAAGGCCCGATAGAGACGCAGCACTTCAATCCTCCTGGATGCTGCCATCTCATAAACACGGTGCCAGGTTCCCCAGCAAGCCCCCTGCACCTTTGCTGCCTCAATTGGTGCCTGATTCCGAAAGCAGCCCAGGGAAGAGCAGAGGTTGGGATTTGGTTGGTGAAGTAGGTGCTGCGCAGGAGGTGTAAGGCAAGGCGCTGCCACCAGAAAGCATGGTTGCCGTGATCTTCGCTGCCTGGAACCGCCTGAAAGGCAATGTTCTTTTTTTTGCTTCCACACGCCTCGTTTTTGAAATCGGGGAGGAAAGTGTTTTCGAGTGGCAGCACAGGGGGCATAAGACAAGGCTCTGCAAATTGCATCAGGGAATCAGGGAGGAAAAAGAGCATCACCTCCATGCATCGCGTTTTCTGGCATTTTCCTCCCTGATTCCCCGATGCAATTCGCAGAGCCTCACGCCCTCATGAAAACATGGCAGCGGCAGTTTTCGGCTGGTTCCAAGCAGCACTCTAACTGCTTCCACCACCCATCTCCCAGAGTGCGGAGACCGAAAACATGATGCCCGTTTTTGACAATCCCTATCATCTGGAATGGCAGTTTTCAGGCAGTTCCAGACGACAGTGATTGTGTTTTCAGTCTCCACATGATACAAACAAGCATCACATTTTCAATCTCCACACGCTGGGAGATGGGTGGCAAAAGCGGTTAGGGTGCTGCTTGGAACCGGCTGAAAACCACCGCTGCAGTGTTTTCATGAGGTCGTGTGGGTCTGTGAATTGCATCGGGGAATCGGGGAAGAAAACGCCAGAAAATGCAATGCATGGAGGTGATGCTCTTGTGAAGCGGGCACTTCTGCACAAGAGGTATAAGGCAAGGTGGCTCGCTGCCCGGCCTGCCCCTTCTCCAGATGACCCAGTCGAAGGATGGTTGGCGTCTGCTTGTGGCCCGGGAAATGGATCTGGTCAGGAGGAAAGAGAAAGTGAGTCTGTGGAAAAGGAGGAGGAGGAGGGTGCGCAGCTCTGCGAATTGCATCGGGGAATCGGGGAGGAAAATGCCAGAAAATGCAATGCATGGAAGCAATACTCTTTTTCCTCCCCGATTCCCTGATGCGATTTGCAGAGCTTTGCCTTACGCCCCCTGCGCTCCCACCCGAAAACACTTTCCTCCCCAATTTCAAAAACGGGGAATACAGAGGCAAAAAAAGAACATTGCATTTCAGCCAGTGGGCAGTTCCAGCTGGTGCTGCCGCCCAAAAACACTTTCCTCCACGATTCCAAAAACAGGGCGTGCAGAGGCAAAAAAAGAGCATTGCATTTTTGGACAGTTCCAGGCGGCTGAGATCGCAGCAACAGTGTTTTTGGGTGGCAGTGCCCTGCCTTACACCTCTTGTGCAGCACCCGCTTCATCAACCGAGTCCCGACCTCCACGCTTTCCTGGGCTGTTTTCGGAATCAGGCTCCGACTGAGGCAGCAAAGGCACAGGGGGCTTGCCAGGAATCCCCGCACCATGTTTATGAGATGGGAGTGTCCAGGTGGACTGAAGTCTCTATTGAGCCTTGCTGCAAGAAAACCAGGCTTTCAACACCTTCGGCTATAGGTAGGTAGATTGGGGCATCTCAAGAATGCAGCTTTCAGTGCCAATGTTTTTAATTTTGGAAGTTTTGTTAGATACAAGGATTTGTTAACAGATAAGGGGGAATTGAAAGAGAAACGAGAACTGGAAGAACAGGGGATTGAGATAGATTGGTATGTGTATAGGCAGATAAGGACAAGATATGAAAAAGATGCTAAGTTACATGGTTTCTATATTGAAAAGACTGAGTTAGACAGGATACTCACAGGAACAGAAGAAAATTTAATTAATTTTTTTAATATTTTTTTTTGTTATATATTGAATTGGAGGAGGAACAGGTGAAAGGAATAATGATAGCTTGGGAAGAAATTTTAGACATCCAATTGACCTTGAAAAATGGCAACAACTATGGGAAAGGAATTATAAACTAACGATGTCCACCGCATATAAGGAAAATCAATATAAAATGTTTTATAGATGGCATGTGCCACCGGAGAAGTTAGCAAAAATGTTTAAAGATAAATCAGCAAAATGTTGGAAATGTCAATTACCAGGATCTTATTATCATATGTGGTGGACATGCGCTGAAGCAAAAAAATATTGGAATAAAATTAAAACCTGGTTGGAAAAAATGACACAAATATGTATTGAATTTAAACCAGAGTTGTATTTATTGGGTATCCTACCTGACAAAATTAAAAATGAATATATTTATTTGATTATACATGTAATAACAGCTGCAAGAATTGTGTATGCACAAAATTGGAAATTAGAGAAAACATCATTAGAGAAAACATCATCTTTTGGAAGATGAAGTAATAAGAAAGATTTTAGATTGCGCTGAAATGAATCGATTAACTTTATTGATTAAAAATAGGGAAGAATCAGAATATTTTAAAACATGGAATTATTTTTCTGTTGGTTGCAAAACAGATAGAAATTATTAATTGTATAAATATGTATAAAAAACCTGATAGTAGGAATGTGACTATAGTAATCAATTCGAACAGTGGTTTGAAGATGGCTGAGACAGAAGAAACTGCTGGTACAAGAAGAATAAAATGAACTGAAGAATTTAACACCGAGATGTCACAGGGGAAGGCTGACTGATGTTTTAAATGTTTTCTTGTTTTTTTAAAAAAATAAAAATAAAAAACTTTACATAAAAAAATGTCAAAAAAAGTTTTCAGTAATACATTCCTTTTTTTATTTTTTCTTATTACAAACATAATCATTTTTTATGTCAACTATTCCATTATAATCACCCACTATACATATATTCTTATTACCTACCTCAATAATCTTTTCGTGTGTTTTCTTATAAAATTCTCTTTGTTTTTTATTGGGAGCATATATATTAACTAATAGCATTTTAATTTCCCCTAGTATCAATTCAATCAATAATACTCTTCCCTAGAGGGTCCTCATAAATTACCTTAGCTTTTATTTCTTTTCTAATATATACCACTACCCCCCCCCTTTTTTTTTTCTCCTGCTAGTGCTGCAAACAAAGTTCCTGTCAGCATCAGCTTTCCTGCTTTAGCTGCCATAAGAAACGGGGAGGGATTAGGTATGGAGCAAAGGGGGGGGAGAGAGCAGGAGGGGGTTTGTCTTTGCAGGAGGGGACTTCGTGGGAATCGAAACTAAATTTCAGAAGGGGATGGCCGACCAACTGTCTTGACATTCCTGATGGATGACGCTGCCAGACGTGTTGCCACCTGACCTTTGGAAGACCTTTAGATTGGCTGAGAAACTATAAACACGAGGGGGGGAAGAAGCTTAGTAGATGCATTTCGCGCGTTTTGATCACTTCCAGCTTTTCACTGGGATGTTAATCTTTTCATATTCAGTAAAAGTACCAGATTCTTCAAAATGCTTGAGTTTGGGGTTTTCTTTCCTGGATACTGAAGGAAGCATACCTGACATTAAGCTGGAAGTCGTCACTCCCCGGGGATTCTCCCCCCAGTCCGGCAGTCTGCCCACACCTTTGGACCATCTAGCTTCCTCCGGTTCCAAACGGAGTTTTTCCAGCCATTCTGCAGTTTCTCTTTCCGACTGGAGGGCGGTTGAACTCGCTGCCCCCATCTTCCCTTCGTCATCACTCCCTCGATCTGACATACTTTGGATTTTCAGTCCCCTCGGGTTTTGTCCGGGATGACTGAGATGACTTCCAGCTTAATGTCAGGTATGCTTCC